ATCTTGATCTTACTCTTCCTACTAATGACTGTCATCTAGAAGGAACTATATTGTCCACACCTGAGCATGGAATCTTCTTTTGGGACGCAAGTAGTTGCCTTTGATTTTTTCGAGCTTCTGAGATACCAATAGCTGATTATTTGCTAATTTGTGTGATACTTAGTATCATTAAAATTGGTGTAGCCAAAGAGTCTTCTATACCTTGATTTTGGATGAATTGAAGAAAATAGATGCTCTTGCAGCCACATATATAGATGTTATGGAAGTAAATGATGACTGCTAGCTGATCTATCTATGTGACTTCTTCTTCTTGAACCATTTTATTCGATGTAAGTATTTAAATTCATTGTCTTAGTATAGATGCAATTTATATTTCAGTATTTACTTAAAAAAATTCTTCCTTATTTGTTGCTCTTTGATTCATTATTTGTTGTGTATATACGTTTACAGTTTAAAAAAAATAACCCAAAAAGAATATATACATGGGTCATCAAATTTATAAGTTCTTATTCTCAAAGAATTTTAGAGTTTGTGTGTCTTGTATTTCTTTCTTTCTAAGTGTTTGTGTTATCATCAAATATGGGGAGATTGTTGGGCCACCTATGATTTGGTGATGATCCACTGCGGTCACCTATTAACACTTAGGGATTGTTTTTTTACTTCTTAATAGTTCCATTAAGAGGCAGTTTCAGTATCGTTAAAAAGTGAATCTTGTTTAGCAAAAAAAAAGTCTATCTTAATGGTTCTAAAACCCTCTGAATGATTTTGTATCATGGGCCTCCCTCAATCATTCAGCACCCTAATTCCATTGTAAACAATTACCGAACAATTATATTTCATTTTGCATTATATCATAAGAGCCTCTTAATCATTTTGACCACTTAACCATTCAGCACCAAACCATTCAGCAATTGCCAAACAACCTTTTAGTAGTTATCGGTTTCTTTGTACATTGGTATCCTAGTACATACTTAAAGCCATTGGCAAAATCAAAGACTAGCCGATGTGAAGAGAGAAGGTTACCAGTGCGGTACTGTGGATCAACTGTCTAAATTACACACCAAGACTCTAGAGTAGCTGATTTGAAGATTGAAAATATTTTGAAGCTACAAGATGATTGAAGGAAGATCTTCATGCACCGAAGATTTTTAAGTAGCTATTTGAAGCTACTAATCCATCCAAAGAAGATTTCCTTACAGACAGACCATATCTCTACAAAAGTTTGTCTCTGCATGAATAGTGTTGTATGCATGCGGTGTACGATATAAATGAGATATCGACAATGATCAAGTCAACCCCTGCCTTTTTATCCTAGGTGACGAGTGTCCTTATGCATTTAATGTTGAAGGTAGTATAAAAGGCAGGATGCATCTCCCATGCAATAAATATTTCCTTGAAAGATTTCTAAGTACGTTCTCAAGGCAATCGACTTTCTTCTTCTTCTCCCCTAGTCTTCTGTGTGTGAAGAAAGTCTTAGTGTTCTTTATTTTCTTGCAAGTGCTCTCTGTGTTGTTCTTGTAAGTTCATATTGTTGTAAGATTGTTTAGGTTAGATTATCTTTCCTACTTCTGCAACAACCTATATTGTATTTATGTGTGTTAATTCTTGATATACATCAATAAGAATTAAAAAGTTGAAAAAAAAATTGTGTAATTGTATTCAATCCCCCTCTTTAATTACTTCTTGTTTATTGTCATCTCATTCGGGACCAAAAAATGCGTTGAATTGTATTTTTTTAGAACCAATTGTGGCATCTTCCGTCTTTAATCACGCGGCACGGGGGTGTTACAAGAGTGTTGACCAACTTTTGATTGAGTAGTTTGTCAGTTGCCTTGTATTGTTTAGATGCGCTTCCCAGGTGCAGCAGAGGTTGTCAAGTCCAAACAAATATGTTTTCCAAAACCTTCTCTCCCCTTTTTATATAAAAACCCCTCCTTTTTTTCTTTTATAAAAACCCCTCCTTTTTTTCTTATACCCACCTATATGGGATCACCTCAATCCCTCATTCACCATCTCACTTTTAACTGACCTTTTAAAATTATAAATAAACATTATCTATTCATATATTGATAAATAAATAATATAAATATATTTAAAAAAGATTGTTAATTTGACAAAAAAAATTTGTCAAAATTTATTTTTTGATCTTTTGGTCCTTGGTTGTTATTATATTCGTCGTAAATATCGTTCTTGAAAATTTTCATGTGTGAAGCGCTTTAAGTTAATTGAATTTTTTTAATTAACAATTTATTTGCATTATTACAAATTTTATCTTGAAACTAATTATATGTAAAAAAATTGAGTACTTTACATGCTTATCGAATCCAATATCCGATAGCTCGGATTCACTCGTTAGTATGCCGACTCGAACTTATTTGAGTCTAGTTTTAACCGATCTGGAGTATCTCACGACTTATCTCGTCTTGTTTATACCCCTAAGTGAAGGTAATAAAAATAAAACATTTTTTATCATTATTTTCGCACATCTCAAATAAATATTTTTAACAATAAGTATGTATGTTTATGCTTTTCAAGTGAAGATGAAATATTTGTTCTAGAACTTAAAATAAATGTTGTAGATTTTACAAATGCAAAAAAACAATTGTTATTTACTATATTCATAGATACAATATACATGACCCTTTTGAATGTCTTACTATACCAGTCTTATGGTATAACACCCTCAAAAAAAATTGAAAATTGCAATAATGTAAAATTTGGTAAAAACCGACATTCAAACACCAAAATAAAGTATTTGCCAAAACATGGCAATAAAGTTACAAGATATCAGATACAAAGTTTGAATATAAGAGTCTCTCTAGACTTCTATGTAATCCTATTAGGACCGGATTTAAGGCAGGGGTTACAACCAACCACCAAAAGTTGGCAGGGTTACAACCAACCACCAAGTTGCCATCTTTCAAAAGATGCGAGCTTTCCAAAAACGCTACCCCACTTGTGCCTCTAAATGGAATTCCAAGCTCTAAGTCACTAGCTTTTGGCCTTGATACTATTGTGACATGTTATACATAGCAATAAGACAAAGTGTTAGACTTGACGCCTAGTGAGATCAAACGGTTACCCCAAGTGAAATAATTAGAAGAGAAATAGATGACAAAAATTGTTATCCTCCTTGGGGAAGAGGTTAACTTACAATAAAGTATAGTGACAATTGGGAGCCATTAGACTAGAAAGCATAGTAACAATCAAAATATCTTACGCTAACGGGGGAAACTCGATTCCGCAAGTGGCAGAATACTAAGTAAGCCACATAGAGATGTTGACGAGCGAAATACCCCTAAGCATTGGCATCTACTCTTATTGAGGCTAAGGCAAGAACATCAAAAACTCCTTGTTTAGTTGGTCCCCAAGTTACGAAGTGAGAACATCAAAACTTCTAACCTATCTAAAATCAAAGATTCTAAGGTGAAGACATCAAAACTCTTCCCTTGTTCCAAACCAATGATATCAAGAAGAGGACCTCAAAACTCCTCTCTTGATGGTATAACAATTATGCATATGGATCCAATGCAGTGACACACAAAACTACGACATAATCATGTTTATACAAATAACCATACTACTTGGGTTTACTAAATGCAGAAATAAAATGAAATGTAAGTCATGTATCAGTTCCGACCTAAAGTAATGAAATGATATATCATGATCTAAATAAGCAGTGGCGGATCCAGAAGTTTTTAAAGTAGGGACACACTTAGGGGTGTAGTCGTGTAGAAAAATAATTCAAAACCAAATAATTCATCCGGATGAAAACAGTTTTGAATTTTCCTTTTCGGCTTAAATGGTTCAGTTAACCGAATAAAGATAACTTATTCAGGTCGATTTTCAGATGACTTTTTACTAATTAATCGAGGTGTATAATTTTTATATTTTATATTTCGAACAAAAATGTCAATGTGTGTTGCAAATGGACTAATTAACAATCAGAATATCAAGTTGGGGGCTCTTGCCTTGTTCTTGTTGGGGGCCTTGTCCTATTCTTGTTGGATGCACAATAGGAAAATTTACCAAAAAAATTTTTATAGCCTTTTTAAAAAAAATAAAATTGGTGGGTTTGTTGGGAGCCTATGACCCCTATCACTATGTATTGAATTCGCCACTGCAAATAAGTACAAATCTTGTTCTCAATAATGAGAGCTTGAATAGTTATTCAATATATATATATGTCATATTCCAAATGATGACAAATTTCACATAAATATAACTTTTATGTAAATTAATGAACACAACCCCATATTACTTTATAAATGTAAATAAATACTTGAACCAGCATTAAAGTAAACTCTATTTCTTCATATAATTAAAAGTCTCATGGAAAATAAGAATTTCAAGTTTTACCATAAAAATCCATAAAAATGACCTAGAATCACCTGTAGTTCAAATCATTATAAAATCTCATAAAAGGCTTGTATAGAAATTTTCAAAATGAAAGATGAACTAACAAATGGGTTTTTGAGTGAAACCCTAAAACCAAAGCTAAAATGGGAAGTAGAAATGGAGAAGATGATGATGAACTTCTTAACCACAATAATTAGACTCTTAGGTGGCGTTTGTTTTTTAAGATGTGTTGAAGTCTGAAGTCTGAAGTCTGAATTCACTTCTGAATTTTAAGAGGTGGTGCTGAAGTCTGAAGTCTGAAATCTGAATCAGTCAGACTGTTTGTTTTTACGTCTGAAATCTGAAATCTGAATCAGTTAGACTGTTTGTTTTTACGTCTGAAATCTGAAATCTGAATCAGTCAGACTGTTTGTTTTTACGTCTGAAGTCTGAAATCAATAAGACTATTTTGTAAACTGACAAACTTCTGAAATCTGAAATCTGAATCAATTCATTTCAATTAAATTTAACTGAAATATTCAATCATTTAAATCATTTGTAAACTACCATATATTTTTAACACATTCAGAAATTCAATTGAAATACGTCAATTGATTCAACACACAATTAAAAACATGAATAAAGTCTCATAACAACTAGAATCAATATTCATTTTGCATTAATTGTGTTGCAATTTCTTCTCTTGAACTAGCCATATATGTTTGGTCAGCGGCACTCCCATGCGATTGAATCTCTTCAGCCTCATCCTCGTCATCGTTCCCTTGTTCGTTGGTTTGATCATACTCAAAAAATAGCTCATCACTTAAACCTTCCTTCCATATGAAGTTGTGAACCGCAAAACATGCAATAACAACGTCTCTTTGAACCTCAAGTGTAAATGGTGCCATTCTTTTCAATATTGGAAAATGTGCTTTCAGGACGCCATAAGARCGTTYAATAACATTTCTAAGTTTTGCATGAGAATGATTAAACTTTTCATACTTGTTCATTACTCGTCGACGACGAAAATCTCCGAGCCAATATCTAACATTACGATACGGCGCCATAAATCCTCAAGTATTTGTATACGCAGCATCACATAGGTAATATTTATCTAAAAACAATAAATAAAATTATGCTCCTGTTTGCAGAGAGGACAGATATGATGGATGGTTGAACACCCAGATAATGTAAGCAAGTCATAAATCGATTTACCTATGTGAACATTATGCTCCTGTTTGTAGAGAGGACTTTGAGCATTATGCTTTTACCTGTTTTGAAGCATTTGGGGATAGGTATGAATCAACCTTGTGTGCATCTATGATCTGTTATTCTCAAGTCCTGACAATCTTTCTTTCTATTAGAAGTCTCTGATATGTGTGTTTTTGCAACAAACTACATTACATGACTACAGGTACTTTTTGACATTTGGAAAGAAACATGTTTAGTAGTGAACAAAAGGGTCCTATATATTTCCAGCTACCCTTGGGCTGTTGCTTGTATCCTTCAGATATCCAATAGCAATACTCCCTAGAGAAATTCCAAAGAGCTCCCCGGATTAAACAAGGAAGTTTCAAATGCATATATAATTAATCAATTGCAGCAAGTTTCATAACAAGAAAGCAATTGCAGCTCTAATGGGATCTGGGTTTGCTCTAATGTAATAGCAAGTTTCAAATGCATACATAATTAATCTACTGTGTACTGTGCAGTGAAGGGGGCAATGGTGGGCTGGCTGACTTTGCCTTTAAGCTATTGTGTACTGTGCAGTGAACATAAATGCACCCTTTGAAGCTTTGCTGTCACTCCCACCCATTCTTTAAATCAGACACGACTCATCATACATATATACCTCTTTCTAATTTTATCATATATATATATATATATATATATATGTGTGTGTGTGTATATGTACTTATATACATATACTAGGATCGAAAAAGCATATGAACAAATCAATCCTCAATCTCAAATGTGGTATGAGTGCAAGGCTTTTTTCTACTGTTAACCAAGCCAGTAGTTTCGAACTATGAACTTGGATTTTCACAGTAGTTTCGAGAAATTAACCAAGACAGAAAAGAATACAAAAACCCCTTTATAGGATTTGAACCGTGGGTGATGCGATTACCTTCACAATAGATGAATCAGGCAAAACAGAACTCAACCAAGCGAGGAGAAACAAAATCGAGAGCTGAGATATCGAGATGGATACCTTAAATCGAGAGGTAGAAGACGGTAGGCGACGCAAGGATCGAGAGGTAGAAGATGATAGCTTGACAGAAGAGATCGAATGAGGCGCAACAATGGAGAGCAACCGGGTAAGCGACGCAAGTTTTCAGTGAAAATGTAAACTCTAATTAATTCAGACCTAATCAGAGCTTTTAAGCTCTTAATTGAAAAAAAAAAACAAACATTCTTAATACCCTAAGGTCTGACCGATTCAGACTTCAGAGGGTATTAAGAGCTTTTTTGGTAAAAACAAACAACACCTTAGATTAGATCAAGATTCTTTAATGTTATCCCAACCTAGAATTTGGGGGCCAAAAGAATTTCAAGATGGATGTTTAGGTGGATGTGGGTCAAGTGATCTCCAAAAATAATGACAGCATCGTCATAGGAGATTTACGTTGTGTTCTTGAAACTCATTTTATGAAGGAAGGGAAGTGAAGGTGAGGAAAGTGAAGAAAAACTCGTGTTCTTGAAACTTTTTAAGGAGAGAGAGGAAGGGGAGGGGAAGGTGAGAAAAGTGGGGAAAAAAACTCGAAACTCTTTAGGAGAGAAAGGAAAACAAAGGGAAGGAAAATAATGAGTAGTTTCTTTTCAAGACTTTCCTCCCAAATGTGGGAGGAAAAAATTAAAATTATTTAAGAAATTAATAAAGTTACAAAACTACCCAATCTTTTATTCTAAATGATATAATTATAAATGACATATCAGGAAAAATGACATTTTCTTTTCCTTTCCCTTGTTCGAGAACATGAAAAATTATTTTCTTTCTTTTCCTTCCTTTTCAAGAATACAAATATAAAAATTATTTCCTCTCTTTTATTTTTCTCTCCATTTCTTTTCCTCCGTTTCTTTTCCTTTATTTTTCTCCAAATTAGGTGGAGAGAAAAAGAAATTATTGTAAAAAAAAACTGATGGTGGGTTTGAGATCTCAACGACGGAGGCAAGTCCTTTTTTTACCACAGCAACCCAAGGTCGCTCCCGCCTCTCTCCCCCTTATTTCACACTTAGCCAAAATTTCAATCAGCATCTCCAAGGTTGAGTTTTTGCCCACTTTCACGCCAATACATCAGTGAAGTGCCTAAATTTTAACGTTTTGGATGTTCTTTGTCTAAGCCCTTCCTTCATGCTCGTGAAGTGCCTAATTTTGAATGTTTTGGGTGTTTCTTGTCGAACTTGATACCCAATCATAACCAAACTTTAAAATACTAAGTAAAAACTATTTTGAAGATAAAATATAAATTAAACTTGGAATTTTACTTGACAAAATTCTTGGTGTTACATATGGCCATCATGATGAAGGAAATCACTGCAAGATGCCTACCATCCTGACAATGAGGCAATATGTGGGGACTTATAGATACATACTAGTGTTATGTTCTTAAGTTAGTTGATAATATCCATGTTAATTAGAAACACCATTTGTTTGAACTGCCCAAAGGAAACTCTTCCACAATATTGAAATGATCACTTGAGCCTTATATGCAATTGCTGAGTTGAAAAGTGTTTTGATATCCATATTCCCATAAGAGTTTTCTTAGACCCCAAACTGTAGATGTCTCTTGATCAAAGCCCTGTATGGTTTTGAATGAACTAATCCACAAAATGTGGGATCCCCGTACTATTGCCACAAAAAAGTAGTTTTCCATAAATTTTAAGCGACCAACATATCGTCGATTGTTTATGATTGATTAAAGAATCAAAATCTATTAATTGTATGTTCATCTGTCTGTAATTCATTAAGGCTTGTGGCTTTCTTTACAAAGAAAGCAACAAATAATTGGTGTTTTAGCTTGAGAAACTAGACAAGTCTCATTCATTCCTGGAGACTAGCAGACTTGATAATAAGTTTTGGTAAATCCATTCAAAAAGATAAAATGGGTCATACTACTTAATTATTACTTTACATATTTGATCAACTTATGTTTCTTAATTGCAATGAATTGAATTTGAAACGTCCTACCATTCGAGCTACCATTTTCCTCTTTGTTCATTCAAGACTTGTACAACGACTTCAGTTGTTCTTTTTTAGTTTATTCTCCATGTTCTTTTGAACTTCTTTTTGACTTGGAAGCAAGTTGTGTGGTTTTATATTTTTTTTTCTTGACACAAAGTTTCCCTTTCTTTTATTCAATAGCTAATGGCTTTGTGGATGATTCATGTTACTTCTGGTTGATAAGTTGAAAGTATACAACCTCTCTTTTTGTAGTTAAGAACCCAAAAAGGGCTTTTTTCATGAAAAATAAGTGACTCGAGCAATTTGGTGTGGTTTGGTATAAAGAACATTAAAGGTAGGATTAGTGACATGATTAGGGATGCACAAAAACTGACCAACCCCACTAACATGTCCAACTCAATCCAAAAAACCACATCGAATGACCAACTTGAGGTTTCCAAGTATTTTCATTGGTTTATATTTACATTTATGCTTAGACAGTTTAACATAATTCTAAATGACTTATTCTTTTTGGATGGTTACGTACCAACCACCAATTTTTGGTTTTAAATTAAAATTTAGTCGCCTATTTAAACACTAACCCGACGACCTCTTAACTGAAATGAAATGGGTTGGGGTTGTGATTTTTTAAAACTGACGAGTTGGATTGAGTTGTTCAAATGGTTTCAGCTCACCCTATCCAACCTATGTACACCCATAGACATGAGGAGGGATATATATATATATATATATATATATGTATGTATGTATGTATGTATGTATGTATGTATGTATGTATGTATGTATGTATGTAAGGGTTAGTTCAAATGTTAACCAAGTTTATTGTGTTAACTTTGTTAACCAATCTTGGCCATTGATCTTTGAAATTTGTGGGCAAGATCATTCATGACATAAAGTTTAATTAATTGCACACATAGACAAGGTAACATAAGTGAACAATATTTATAAGGGGTATTTTGAGAAAAAATTTTAGTTGTCCATAAATGACAATGAGATGTTTTGTAACCGTCCATTAATGACAATAAGATGTTTTGTAACTGCCCATTAATAACAATGTAACTATCCGGGAATTAATCTCGTCATCGAATCAAAACCAACAGCAAGATCCCCGACATCAAATTCTTGTACATTTTTTTTGTTAATGGTTCATATGTGAACAAATATTCGATATTTATGGGAATTGTTCATGTGTGAAAAAGGGTGTATATGGAAAAAAGTCGTAAACGACACAAGTGTGCATATATGTCAATCTGTGTTTATATTTGACACAAGGGTTCATATATGTCAATTTGTGTTCGTAATTGACACAAGGGTTCATATATGTCGAGTTGTGTTCATATGGTTGTACGAATATTCATATATGTGAATTTGTGTTCATATGGTCACACATGTTCATCATCTTTCGTATGTTCATTGTGTCAACATGTATTCATATTTATATCAACTGTACATATAGGTCAATTTGTTTTCGTAATTGACACAAGGGTTCATATATGTCAATTTGTGTTCGTAATTGACACAATGGTTCATATATGTCGAGTTGTGTTCATATGGATGTATGAATGTTCATATATATGAATTTGTGTTCATATGGTCACACATGTTCATCATCTTTCGTATGTTCATTTGGGTCAATATATGTTCATATTTATACTAATTGTACATATAGGTCAATTTCTTTTCGTAATTGACACAAATGTTCATATATGTGAATTTGTGTTCGTAAATGACACAATGGTTCATATATGTTGAGTTGTATTTATATGGTTGTACGAATGTTCTCGTATGTGAATTTGTCTTCATATGGTCACACATCTTCATCATCTTTCGTATATGTCAACTTGAACGATACCAAAAACTTTACTACCAGGTCTCCTCCATCAA